ATATATATATATATATATATATATATATATATATATATATATATATATATATATATATATATATATATATATATATATTTGTGTGTGTGTGTGTATATATATATATATATCTGTGTGTGTGTATATATATATATGTGTATATATATATGTGTGTGTGTATATATATATGTGTGTGTGTGTGTGTGTGTGTGTGTGTATATATATATATATATATATATAAGCATTCATATGCGCGTTGCGCATATATGGGTGCCCGATCATGATTTTTTGCAAGTTCGTTTATGGTTTTTCTATATAAGTCAATGAGACGGTTCCCATGACATTGCCCGGCAATGTCAAATGATGACCCGGGGGCGTTCCGGTGCCGCATTCGTAAAATTGATGGTTCCTACCCCCAGGTAAACCCCCCTACCCTACCCCGAACCGAACACACCCCCCACCTCCTTCAACTTTGGAGTCAAAATTTACTCTAAAGTCAAAATTAACTTGTGAGGTGCAATTGAAGGGGATGGGGGTGTTTACCGGGGGGTTAGGAGGTAGGAACCATCATCTTTAGGAACAGGGCATCGGAGCGCCCTCGGGTCAACCCAGGACATAGGGTTCCAGTGTCATGGGAATCCCACCGATTAGTCAATGTGGTTTATTTGGTTTAACTGCTTCTTGTTGAACAAGTAATGAAGAAATGAAATTGACAATAATGATGAGATTAAAGTTCTAATGGTTTGCATCCAAAGTTCCTCTTCTCTATTTTAGGGCAAAAGTGTATACTATAAATGGTGAATTTAGCAAAAGTGAGACTTCATACAAGATGTGTATGATAGAATTGTAAGTGGACTAAAATAGTTAGATATATCATCAAATATGTTACTTTGTAATCAATGAATTTACATATTATGTGATAATCTTTAAAGGCATCTAAATATTGATCCTGATTTTAATAGATCTTGGTCATTCTTTTAATGAGACATCTGCATCCACTTTCTTTGCACATAGGAGTATATTTTGTATACTATCTGCTCCTAGTTTCTATCTTGGGCTTCACACAGAGTGACATACTCTTATGTAAAATATACATATAGATATGAATAGTGTCATTGAAAATGAATAGTATGACAAAGGTGAAATTAAAAATGAATAAATACGTAATAAAAGTGTCATCCTATACCATCAATAAAGAAGGATCTTTTAATAACTTGAAAAAATGAGAAATTTGAAATTTAGATTTAACATTTGAAAATGAAAAGGAGTAGTGGTTTAAAATCTTTTTTAAGTAGTGTAGTAAGGTATTGTTTCCTCTAATAATAAAAATCTTATACATTATGAAATACAAAACATAAAACTATATGTATGAAAATAGTAAAAAAGAGAACCAAAACTCCAAAATAATAATTGTATTCTTCCTCTGTCATTGACTTTATCTACCTCTTTTCTATAAACTCTCCTCTTTTTTACACTAAAAATGTGCATCTCCGTGGCAATTTATTAACACTCCTTCGTCATCACTGTAAGCATCGATCCATTAGGAGTTATGGATTCAAAAAGGCTGCATAAAATCATCCACAATAATAATTCTTCTCTATAAACATTCCAATAGTTGTCATAAAGAACAAATTCTCTTGGGTGGGTAGCAAAGATACGTACTGCAACCAGTATCCCATTTCAAATACTTCCAAATGAAACTTGGAGTTTGTAGCGACCAAAGTTAGAATAGATTTATTTTTCAAGTGGTGATAAAATAATTAAAAGAAAGCAGTTGAAAGCTCAATAGAGTGTGGCTTCTTAAATTAGCTAAAGCAAATGTAATAAAACATATGGGGTAAGAAGAGTTCAAGGAATGATAAAATTAGTGGTGCCAAATGGTTGAGATGTAATCAATCAGAATGCATAATACTTCCACCATTTACAATGAATTATGCGCAAAAAATAGATATAACTTAAAATCTAAAAAGAATTTGAGCGTAACCCAAAATAAGTTTTGTAGAGTTAGGTTAAATCATACCTCTTTTAGGTTGCAAGAGCCATTAAAGTGGGGACAAACTGACAAAGTCCAGGAAAGGTGTATAATTCTCTTATGATGAAGCCACAATTTCTAAAAACCACTCTAAGTGAGGACTATGATCCTGCAAATGAGTATCAGATCACACAATCTTTGGTCAAAATGGATAAAAACAATTCATTTATACAAAGAATGGAAAATTAATTTTCCATTCTTGATTTCCTTTCTTTTTCATGGACATATACTTGGGTGTATGCATTAGGTAGAGACTAAATACCCCCTGGAACCAAATAGATATAGTTTATAATAACAAATTAAGCATATATATTACCTAATGGCACCTTTACATTACTAAAAGCTAGGAACCAAAGTTTGCTTCTCACCATAAAAGGAAATGTAAGCAATAAATTAGAATTAACACCATCTTCCAAAGTCAATCGGTAGATTAATAAAAAAATGATAGTTAATTTGGCATTGTATAGAAAAAGTTTGAGCGTAAGCAAGAAAATTGATATGTTTGCACCAAAATTTGAGGATATCCCTCATTTTACTGTGAAAAAAAGAAAACAACTTCCTCCTTCTAAGTATTGAAGAGGCTTTTGATCATGTTTGCTAAATTGTTTTTTTGTTAAATGCAACTCATTTTGAAGCATTTTCATCTGGTTAAATGCAAATAATTTTGAAGCATTTTCATCTATCATTTGGCAAAAAGCTCCCAAAATTAATGAATTGAATGAAAATCACCTCAAGAATATGATGCTCGGATTGATTCATAATTACCACAAGAATGAAATCACAAAGAAATGATAGGGAAACACTTGACATACCAGGAAACAAAGCTGCAGACAGTGTCTCATCCCAGCTTCCAACACCAATTATAAATAGCTAGACTATTAAAAAATTTAAAATTGAAAATACAACATCGAATCTATTCTGATTCATAAATAATTAGGATTAAAAAAGGATTTTCTAGCTTCAATCTTGAAACGAAAGATAGATAATCAATACCATGCTGCCAACATACCAAAAATTAGGCAAGTCTGAAATAATTAGCATAGCGTGTTTGGGATCTCTCGACTTCGCAAAGAAATTTGAGATGGTGAGCTTCTCGATCGGCCTTGCGATGAAATCTGTGAAGAAATAATTTTAGGTAGAAACTAAAACATTGAAAATATACCAAAATAGGACTTCCATGTTTTTATTCCCGAAATAGGACTTACATTACCATACATGGTCATATACATTACCAAAAACGTATAGTAATTTGCACATGTACATTGTCACATTACCACAAGGCAAAGTCACATTACCACAGTGCAAAGTCCTATTTCGGGAAAAAAACATGAAACTCCTATTTTGGTACATTTATCTATGTTTTGGTCCTATTTAGGATGATTTTTAATAATTTTATGAGGATGAATTTTATTTATTACACTCCATATCATTTAATCCCTCCGTCCCTCACTTCTTGTCCACTTTCATTTTTACACACCATCCGATTCACTTCTTCAATCCATTTTATCTTGTAATTTGTATATTAAAAAATTATAAAAATTATATATTAATAATCTATATGTTAAGACAAATCAAACAAGATCACACATGACTATATTTAGGCTTACACATTGAGAAAATTTGATAAGTCAAATTGCTTAGAAAAACAGTTCCAAAAGTCAAAAGTGAACAAAAACTGAGAGACCGAGATAGTATTAGGTATTAGGTATGAATTACTCCATAGAAACCAGTGCTTGTGAAACGACTGTGTGAATTACTCCTTAGCATATTTAAAGTCACAATTCAATAAAAAAAAATTTGTTCGCTTCGTCCTAACCATTGTACTTAACGGCGTAGGGGTAATTTAGGAGTTAAAAAGTAACGTACAAGTCCAAAAGCCAATTGTGCTACTTTTTTGGACGGAAAATGGACATAATATATATATAATAACAAAAAGACAAATATATATATATATATATATATATATATATATGGGATTGACTCTAGTGAGATGACACCTTACGGTGCAATGACATGCTTCGGTCAGATGACGCAAAGCTCACCACTGCCTACTGGAAAGCTCACCAATGGACAATGCAAAGCTCACGTGGAAATAAAGCAAAGCTCACCACTTTGAATCCTAAAACTCACCTTTTTTTAATTTTGAAAATTAAAAAATTAATTAAAAATAAAATAGCAACACCGGTCAACCACCGGTCAACGGCGGCAGCAGGTGGCGGAGCAGCGGCGGAGACCGGCGGCCGGGGCAGCGACCGGCGACCGGCGGAGGCGACCGGCGAAGACCGGCGACCGGCGGCGGCGACGACAGGCGGCAACCGGAGACCGGCGGCGACCAGAGACCGGCGGCGGCGACCGGAGTCCGACGGCGGCGACCAGCGGCGGCGGCGAACGGCAGCGGCGGCGGACGGCAGCAGCGGTGGCGGCGGCGGCGGACGGCGGAAGGCGGCGATCAAAGCTGGAGTCAACGGTCAAAGTCTAGTCAGCACTCCTTACTTTGATTTTATTTTTTCAAAAAAAATTTAAAGTGTTAAAAAAAATATGGTGAGCTTTGCCTTATAGTTTGGTGAGTTTTGTAGTGGTGCTTGGTGAGCTTTACTAAATTAATTTCATACAAAACTTTCCCCGGCAACGGCGCCAAAATTTGTTGGGGACTTGTCGTGAGGTCCAAAACAAATTAAAAATTTATAAAATAACCTTAGCTAACCCCCAAGATATAATCAAATAAAAACTATAGCTAGGGCAAGTAAGGGTCGATCCCACGGAGAAAGTTTGTACTTTTTAAAACCAATTTAGTATACAAACACATTGTCACGAAATAAAATAAAAAAAACAAACTACTACACAAATGATAATACTTATAAAACTTTTAATTAAATAAATATATAAACTTATAAATATAACTTATATAAACAAAGAACTTATAATATAACTTAGTAAAAAAAACTTATATAAATATAAACAAAAAAAAGGGGGGGTTGAATAAAAAGTAAATATTTTTGGTTTTTATGTATTTTCTTATTTTTTTTGGTTTTTTGATAAAATGGGGGAAATAAGCTCAAAAGATATTACTTCTCCAATAAAGGTAACCCAAGAAACACCGCCAAGAACCCGAGACAAAATGAAAAAAGAGAACAAACACGAGTTGAACATTACACGTATAATAGGCACGTAGACAATATATTACGTAACTTACGCACTTAAGAATAGGAAAAACAATCAAAGGCCGAGTCGATTCATTTCCTTAACCACGATATGGAGGATTGTCAACTTTCCACACGGCCCGGAGTCATGCAATTCAAAGGCCCATTTTGAAATATACCTTAGTTACCCAACTCACCAATCAAGCATGAAAACATACTTCCACTATAGAAAAAGTTTATAAAAGAGCGAATTTTTTTTCATTATAACTCTCATGCATAATCTATTCACAAACCGCCAATACCTTATGCATTTTAATAAACTTTTTCTCCTAATGAAGAGCACATTTCACAGATTTCCATGAACTTCTCAAACCAATGACATTTTTTCTATTCACATAGAAGAACACAACGTATTTTCAATAGATCAAGAATTGTTTATTGCACTTAAACAATCTCAATTTAAAGAAAATGGAAAACAAACATATAACCTAACAAAATCACTTTATAACGAATTCTAAG